CTGGAAGAGAAGGACATCAAGCATGCCCTCGGCTGTGATATATAAAAACAGTTTTTACACAGGTTGTACAAAGTGGTCAAGATACGTAGAAGAAGTTTCTCTACAAGCCAGACTCAGATATTAAACTAAGCATGGCTATCTGACAGGAGTGTTTGCTGTATCAGGTACAGTAAGTGAAATGAAGAGCAAATGAGAGCAGAAGATGTGCCTTCTTTGCCTTGTTGCACAGTTTGCAATTACTCAACACATTAAAAGAAGTATTCTCAAAAGATGAAAGGCAGAAAAAATTATTGTACACAGGTGGCTTTTGCCCTTATGATTCATCTTTTTTCTGAAATGATGGTGTTTTTTGCCATAGCTGCCTAATTGTTTTTTCATTTTTTTATGTCGGGCCAAAGATTCTCACAGGCAACTTAACACGCGACGCGACCCCCAGTTACAGAAAAAATGTGCCATCATCATCAGCTGTAGTGCTACTTAAGCAAGTGTGTTCACATTTCAAGGAACAAGTGAAGTTTTATTCCATGCTGAAAAGAGAAGAAAAGAAACTCAATGTTTCGGCTTTGAAGTCTTCACACCCGAAGAAGGCCCACAGCCGAAACGTTGTGTTTTAGTAAGTAAAGTAAACAACTTTACTTGTTCGTAGTCAATACTGAATACATGCAGTGAGCATTTCTGTCAGTCTCTCACTAGGACAGTAGAAACTTTGCACCCATGAGCATGCTAAACTATTTTATCCTAGACAGAATAGTGTAACAATCAAGGAAAGAAGACAAAAATTAAGGCTTCAGATTAATAAGCGTACATATTTATATGTTTTGCACAATCCATGGTGATAATGAATCCATTATCCTGGGCGAATTACAATATAGAACGTTTAGGTGAATTATATGTACATGGCACAGTTGTGCAGGTACAATTGGATTAAAAAAAGATAATCAAGTGGGCTGCACAAACTGGGCGAGAGCTGCACAAACAAAATGAAATGGCAAGAACACCACCAGTGAAGAGTCTGGATAGGGAGCAGTGGTGTACATGCTGTACGCTTATGTGTAGATAACTCTTACCGTGAGTAGGCACAATCAATAAGTTACAGGACATTACAGCGGGAGAACTGCGCTTAGTGCAACACACTGTAAGTGTCATGGCAGGATGTAGGCGAGTGCTGAGGCATCAGTTACTTTTGAAACAGTCTTGATTAGCAGAAGCCATGTTAAGCAGCATACTGTATTAACAGAATTTACGCTGTATTCCTGTGAAAAAAAGGGACACGATTTCTATACACGTGTTCGCAGATGAGCGAATACGATCTGTCAGGTTAGAAGGGCATAAGGTTATCTGATGAGTGCGTTTAAGGTAGACTGCGTCCTGTTGTGGCAGAAGATAATATTAAGTACAGCAAAATGATGACCACCTCTAAAGTGTAGAGAGGGGCTTACATTGTAAGTAAGAAGTAGTAGCAAATCTTAAATGAGTGGCATGTTTCCTACTTTAATGTTATTAGGTGTATGCTTCCCAGGATAGTACTCGAATGGGAGATCACCAGGAAGAGAGAGGGACATGTACTGTACCGCAGTGGATTAAAGATGTAATTTCTCTCAGATCATTGTTTCAGTAAGCAAAAAATAAATGTAAACATAAAACCAAAAGGTGTAACTTGTGGAAACTAGTCTCAAAACCTGGCCTTATCCTTCTACCAGCTACTTACATTAAATGAGTCCCCACTGTTCCCCACTTTAGCCTTTTCATAATTTAATAACAATGCAGGGCTGCATTATAAATCGATCAATCAAAGTTTATCAAATGCAGAACAATACAGCATGCAGCAGTAGTTGCTGGCAGTAAAATGTATTTTCTACGAGCTCACCAGGGGTATAAAATCACGAAATGAAGGTTACGTAATAGAAATTGAATAAAATAAACACAGACAAAACTCAATATAAATAGAGCTGCTACTGTATGTGTCCATGGTGTATGCAATATTTTATGTCCAAGTAGTGCAGTATGCACAATATAGTGAAAATTGTGTGTCCATGTAGCCATTACGGGTGATTTGCTAAAGAAGCTGCAGGTTGGCTATTTAGCAGTCTTATTGCCTGGAGGTAGAAGCTGTTCCGTAATCTGTTGGACTTTGACCAAATGCTTCGGTAACCGTTTACTGGACTGTAGGAGGGAAAACAGTTTGTGACTGGGATGACTGGGGTCCTTGAGATGAGTAGATATCCTGGATGTTTGGTAGCTCACAGCCAGTAATGAGCTGCGCTGACTTCACCAACCTCTGCTGTACTTTGCGGTCCCAGGTGGAGCACTTCCCATACCAGGCAGTGATGCAACCAGTCAGGATGCTCTCAATCGTGCACCTGTAGAAGTTGGCCTGGATATGTGATGGCATGTCGAACTTCTTGTGCCTGCAGAGAAAGAATAGGCTGCCGTGCTGTTTTGATCACGATGTTGGTGTGATGGGTTCAGGTTAAGTCCTCTGTGATGTTAACTCCTAGGAACTTGACTGCTGACCCTCTCCACTGCAGTCCCATTGATATAGATAGGTACTGTATTTGATCTCCTTCCTGGTGTTTCCTATAGTCCACAATCATCTCCTTAGTCTTACTGATGTTCAGAGAGAGGTTGTTCTCCGGGCACCATGCGGCCAGGTTTTCAACCTCCTCCCTGTACGCAGCCTCTTCACCATCTGTGATCAGGCTAATGACTGTTGTATATTCTGCAAACTTAATGATGGAATTTGAGTTATGTCTGGCAACACAATCATGGGTAAATAAGGAGAAGAGGACAGGGCTAAGCACACAGCCTTGGGGGCTCCAGTGTTTGGAGTCAGGGTAGATAAGTTAGTCCCACCCTCACCACCTGCGGACATTCTGTCAAGAAGTCCAGGATCCAGTTACAGAGGGAGGTGTTCAGTCCCAGGTCCTGGAGCTTGATGACAAGCTTAGAGGGCACTATGGTATTGAATGCTGAGCTGTAATCAACAAACAGCATCTCTCATATGTTCCTTTCTTATCCAGGTGTGAGAGGGGCAGTATGCAGGGCAGTGGCATAAGCATCTTCTGTTGACCTGTTCTGGCAATATGCAAATTGCAGTGTGTCTAGGGTGTCAGGCAGTGAGGAGGTGATGTATGCTTTGACGAACCGCTCGAAGCACTTCATGATAACTGATGCGAGTGCAACAGGGCAGTAGTCATTCAGGCAACTGACTCTGGGTTTCTTAGGAACAGGGACAATGGTGGTTTTCTTAGAGCAGGAAGGAACTACAGACTGAGCTAGAAAGAGATTGAATATGCCCGAGAAGACATCTGCCAGCTGATCTGCACATGCCTTCAGAACAGGGATAGCATCAGGGCCAGGAGCCTTGTGTGGATTGGTCTTTTTAAAAACTTTACACACATCCACTCTGGATATGATCAGTGGGTTTCTGTCTTGGATTTCTGGAATCTTCCTGGCTGGATCTGCGTTACTGACCTCAAACCGAGCATAGATTGAATTTAGCTCATCAGGAAGAGAGGCAGACTGTTGTGCGATATAGCTAGGTTTTGTTTTGTAGTCTGTAATGGTGTGTATACCACTCCACATGTTCCGTGTGTTGCAGCCATGATAATATGGCTCTAATTTTACTCTGTAGTTGTATTTAGCTATTTTGATAGCTTTCCTGAGGTCGTATCTGGATTTTTTGTATTTATCCATATGGCCAGAATTGAAAGCAGCTGTCCTAGCTTTAAGTTTGGTGCATATCTCGCCATTTACCCACGGTTTCTGATTTGGATATGTGCAAACAGTAATCCTGGGAACGATGTCTTCAATGCATTTACTGATGTAGCCAGTAACATAGTCCATATACAGATTGATATTATTTCTGGCAGCTTTGCGGAAGATCTGCCAGTCAGTGGTAGCAAAACAGTGATTTAGTATAAAATCTGATTAATCTGACCAACGTTGAATAGTTCTTATAAAACATTACCATGTATAAGTAATGGTAATGTTTTATCCTTTGGTAATTGTAATATTGTAACTTTTTTTTTACTTTGTATATTACAATGGATTATTATCTGCTAAATATAATAATGGTAACACCCAGCATTGCACTGTAACAGATACTATAAATTATGCTAAAAACAAAATCTCTTATACACATTATGTCATTTTAAATCAAAGTAATATGAAAGTAATATGAAAGACCGAAGCACACTTCCCCCACCAAGAATGCTGAATTGTGAACCTTCCCCTGGGGATTCCAGCCACAGCATGCTAGAGACACAGCACAGGCTCGAACTGGCAACATCAGGACTACAGGACTCAACTTGTACACAACAAGAGTGCCTTTCCTGGCTGCACCAATGGATACAATAATCTAGAACGGCAATAACAATGTGTTAAGTAAGCACAAGAAGTAGCTGCCATATCTCAGAAGATACCGCTGCTCTGGAATCAGTCCAGAGATGAAGAACCAGATGCACTCTGGGGATTAAGGGAATGTCCCACCCTGACAAGCCAAAGGAGCTGAATCTTTTCAGTCTTGAACAGAAAACCCTATAGGAAGACCCTGCTTCAAGTTTTCAAAATCCTCAAGGGCAATGACAAACATTCCAGATCCAGAAGATTTCAAAATAAACATTTCTTTAAATTGAAGAGTGAAACACAAACCAGAGGACCCAAGTGGAAACTATGTGAAAGTGCACTGAAAGCACAGCTCTACCCAAAGGGCTGTGGGAGTGTAGGAAAGCTATCCTGCCGTGCTGTTGAGGACAGTACCTTGGTCTCTTTTGAGAATGGTCTCACCAAATAACCTGCACCACAATGACAACAATTAAGTTCTGCTTAAGAGGCAACGTCATCTGACCCCAAGACCAGAATATAAAGTGCTTTCAATGTTAGAAAATCAGCTATTCTTGAGTTCTTTGGAAATCTAAAATACTAGTGGCATATGCTTATACTGTTACATCATTAAAAAAAGAACAATTGCCAGGCTAGTTAAGTAACAACTCCAGGGATGTTCAAAATTAAAATTTAATTGCTTCAGTACCTGAATATTGTTTGGTGTAAGTGAAAAATGAAATGCCACTGTTTAGACGCATAATAGAATACTATCCATAAAAATCCACAAAATATTACAACCCAACAACATTCTTGGTAGCTGTATTAACATACGTAGAAAAGCTTTAAGACATCAGGAATCAAAGATAAAGTATATAACACAGAACTGAATTTTAAACCTATTTTAACTCTTATTACAAGACATAATGTGGTATCCTACAGTGCTGCCATTCAAATAAAACAAGGGAGTAGTGAATCATCTGACCATGCAGAAGACTGAGATGATGTCCAGGGTAGAAGGTAAAAAATAAATAAATCAGTAAATACACTTGCAATCAAACACTCAAGAATAACAGAGCAGTTAAAATTGTTAGGGAGAGACCCTTTCTCCCTTCTGGCTTATCCTTCTTATAATGAAAGATTCAAATAAACACTGAATAAACCAAAAAAGAAAACACACAACAACCATTAAGTTTAGAAATATGCATTCCTGGACAAAACTGCTATCATGTCAAGAGGACTGGCACTTCTACCGTCATTTTTTAAAAAGGAAAGTACAATTTAACACCAGCTTCTGCTTTGATTGACCTACAGTATATACCGTCAAATCATTCCCAGGCCTGTCTTTTAAAATCCTGTTCCCAACCTCAGCAAAGCATTCCCAGATATCAGGCCCTTTAAATCCCTAAAACCCTCCCCCATTGGGTTTTCCCATCCTTCGGTTTCACACAAACAGATGATACCTATTTTCTTTTGATTGTTTTATTACATCACCAAGTAAAACAGGCTCCTGTACAGTCACGAAACATGCGAAGAGAACTGCTGGAAGGCCTTTTCCTGGAGGGTCGTCTATTCATACTTGCTCCCAGTAGAGGTCTGCAGGAGCTGTCCGCTTCCCGGCAAATGAACGGATTAGTCCCAGGCCGACGGATGGTAGCCGCCCCACACGGCGAGAGGTAAAGGCAAGCCCATCTTGGCAAGTCCAAATTCAGGCCTGTACGAGGAGGGTGAGCCTGCACCTGATGCACAGGACGCGTTCACTTGCCAATTCTCTGAACCACCCAGTCCTGCTGGCAGAGTGGGCACCGGTTATTCTGTTTCACCCACAGGGACATGCAGCAGTTGTGGAAGGAGTGGTTGCACTCTCCCCAGACCACTGAAAAGGAAAAGGATGAGACAGGCTGGCTTTAAAAATCCACCAAGCAACAGATCACATTCTCTGAGAGCTCATGAACTGGACAGGGTTCAAGAGGTCCGAGTAAACTGCAGCTGCCCTTTACATGCATAGGAATGCTGTGCAGTGAGGTCATTAAAAGGGGTCTGGATTACCATAAGAACGTCAAGGCAGCTATTGATAATTTATCAGATCGTAATTCTGAAGTCGAGAGATGACTGTTATCTCTCGACTTCTTCAAGCAAGATAATTCTGGACACAAAAAATGCGGTAGTATCAGGAATATGAAGCAGACAAACTACTCCCATGATTTTAGTATGTAAAATAACTTTGCACTTATCACGATTAAAGTAAAACGCCAGCACCGTTTTCTTGATACTGCGTTATTTGGTTATTCAAGTAATGTTCTGCAGATTTAAATTATTGTTAACCATATATTCTTAAAGCAAAGGTGGGCCGTAACCAGTAGCACTGAACGGCTAAGGCAATTAATTCTTAGTCCAGCTTTCATGCTTCACCAGATAACACTATCAAATCACAGGGGACTCACCGACACAATCTTCTTGTTTATTTTCCGCCTGGCATCGGAGGCAAGCATCTAAACAAGCAGGAAAAACACATGCACTGCCAGATTGAAATTGACGTAAAAATCTGAAATGTACTTCCAATACGTTAACATACCACAGGCAAAAAAAAGCCGCAACTTAACACGTATTTTTACATCATTTTTCGTTACAAAAATCGTAAAATGTTAACTCAGACAGCTAGTTATAATTATATACTTACAAACACTATAATAGAGATAACTGTAATGCTGACTATTCACTCGAAACAACGTTTTCTACTTTATTACTTAAACAACAACATTGTCGGATTTTGCTACGAAGCTACAATATTCTCTTGTTGATAAGTGCACAAGGCCTACTGCGACGCGACCTGCATGTTACTGCTTTTATCAACCAAATCTTAAAAAAAAAACTCCCGCATCGCACCACTTCCCCCTCTTACATTAAAAAGAGGTGCATGGCTGCTGCTGCCGACCAACAGGATCCACAACTTCCTTTCTGGTGAAAAGACACGATAAAGCCGTGCTCTTTTTCTTTCACTTACCCATAACCTGAACTCTACAAATGGCACAGGTATCGCACTCTACGTCCCAGCTCCACATTGCCACGGCATTCCACTTCTTTAAGGAAAACATTTTGTCTCCTCCAGATTTAGAGCCAGATCCGCCGCTGTGAGAAGGAATCAAAACCGGCTCGTCTCCGTCATCCATCTCCACCATAGCAATGGTACAAGGGAAAACAAAATGGACGGACCAGTGCAGCTGCACAGCACAATAAGCCAATGTACTACTAAGGGCCAACCGCAAGATGGGGCTAAAGCTCCAAAGTAATCTTAAATCGCTACTGGTGTTAATATAATTTAATATTAAATATAATTTTTAACACATTGATACCTGTTTTGGGTAGAATTCAATCATACTGTCCTAATATTAAGCATAATAACATAATATTCATACTGTAGAAAGGCTAGTATGTTTTATGATTTAACAATTGTAATACCACATGCAAACTGTGGTAAACACACACATCACACACATAGTAACGCAGAAAAATTAAGAAAATCCAAAATTTCTAAAAATAAAAACTTCATACATGGTAACAGAAGCACAGGATAAATGAGTCCAGTCAAGGAGAAGCCCAAAGTAGACACTGTACCCTGTAATGTAAAACACTCTGCTCCCCCAGGCTACTCAGGAGTGAGACTGGGCATGAGATAAATACCTGGCTCAAAGAGAAGTAGTCAATCAAAGAGAGCTCACTGGTGTTGCATTTTCAACTCAATACCTCTCAGCACAGCAGATGCTTTAATCCACAATCAGAGCTCTGCATTTTAGAGTGACCTACCTTTTTTCAAAGAAATGTGATAATGAGTCCCATGTGAAACATTTTTAAAGCGTTAAGAGTATAAAGACAGATACTTTTCATTTTTTAAGCCTGACATTTTTTGCAAGAAAGATTTTATTTTATTTCTTTATTTCATATCCCCGTTTCAGCTGTTTCTGTCCATGCTTTTGTAATTTGAAAATAATTTTCAGTTACCATCATTCAGGTGAATTAAGGACATAATTAAAACAAGTAGGCAACATTAAAGCTTCTTATGAATAATCTTGTTTTTTTTCTGTTGATCAGTTAAAATTGGTTCATTCACTAGTTGATCCCTTGTACACAGAGCTTTAATGACATATAACACTGAAAAAATTAAATATAAGAAAACAAAAATAAGAAAGATAAGGTTTGAAGTTAAAAGTGAAATTTATTTTTTGTACATTTTGTGTTTGCATGAAGCAGTGACCCAACAGAAACTAAAGTATTCTTAGTTCTTTTCTGTTTTTCTTCTACTTTGGAGGGCTAAGTGAATTCTTCTATAGTGACAAACAGCAAACAGTCAACCACAGCCAGTCAGATACAGTTTCATCCTGAGATCCTACTCTCTAACTTTGTTACTTTTGAACACATTCCTTGTATGTAATCTTCTATTTATTGGGTTATTCCTGTAGCACAGCATAGTAACCTTCAAACGGAATAGAAAAAGGAGCTGAGAATGTTAGCATGGGCATAAAATAACGCCAATCAAGAAATAAAACAACACTGTTGTGGTTCCGATATCAGATACTCAGCTGTTTGAGGACCAACAGTGCTCATAGTATAGATAACAGCATGAAGAATGCGTACATTCTCGCAGGACCATGATAAAAAAAGAACAATTCTTTTGTCTCATAGTAACAGCTGGGAAAACTAATAGCAGCTATTGTATGAGAATGCAATCTTCAGCTATAAACAGACAGAAAAAAAAATGAGAGCTCCCAACTTTCAGAGTCCTGTAGCCCCTTCATCACTGGTTTGAATCTGGGCTCTGTCATTAGTCAACAGCAGCCACTGTTTCCTGAGCAGAGCAACACAAAACAATTCAAGAAAAAAGAACACAATGCATCAACAAAAAATATTGTTTATTTCTACCAATTAAGGTACAGTATACCCTTACAAACAGAAATACAAGGCAGTTTGATAGTATTAATAGTATGGGTATACCTGCTTTTCAATATAGCATTTAATAATGTTTTTAACTTCACAAGAATGTAACAGGCTTTAGTAATTCATAGTTAATTGATTCCAGGATCTCATCCAGCCATTTCTTGAAACAAGTCAGTATCTGCTTCAGCAACATGACTGGGTAACTTCTTGAAGACTCCCATCTTTGTATAACAATTCTGTCCCCTTTTCTCTGTTTTAAGTGAACTTCTCTACAGTTTCAGCTGTCCAAGACTAAATATAGCCATTATTTTTAGTTGTTAGAATAGGACATTCCTTTAAACCTAGGAATGTATCTAGTTTGTAATTTTTGGCCTGATTTCAAATCAGCATTATCAAAATACTACACAATATTCTAAATTAGTTCTTACTAGTCCATTGTACAATTTTAACATCCTTTGATTTAAATGCTACACTTTAAATGCCAATGTAGCTCAACATTAATTCTGATTGATTGATTATTGCTTCTCCTCATTGTCTAGAGGATGATAGTAATTTGTCAATAGGTAGCTCCTACATGTTCCCTGTCCTCTGTCTTATTTTTTTAGTTTGAATTTCTGGTATGTGCATTTACCACTCAGCTATATCACTATTTGTCTCCATTAAATGCCACCTGACAAGTGATTACTGAGTATTCAATTTGTCAAACTATTTTTTGACATCATCTGCACATTGGACTAGTTCACTGACCATTCCAGAATCTAGATCATTCAAATCACTTTTCCTAATAACCCTCTTTGCTTCATTATTCAGATATTGTCAGCTGTCTTTAAACATTTATTGATTATCTCTGCAATAAATATTTAAAAATAGAAGGAAGATGTTCAATTTCTACTGTAAGATAATTCATTGTGTATGTGGGGCACTACAGAAATGCAAGATTAGTAATTTTACTGATTGAAACTGAAAGAAAATAATAAAATATCTCTGTAGGTTAGTCTCCTAAACAAAGACATCAGTACAAGTGGGTAGGAGGCTGTAGATGCAGTGAGTGTTGAATACAGATCTTTAAAGCACAGACATGAATTTGTGGTTCCAGTTCTTGGGCCCATTTGGTAATGAAGAAGAGACCTGATGCTGTGGAACTTAGAAGCAAACCGAGAACAAAAGGTGGTCATTTGATTGGAATGAATAGAAGACCAGTAGAAAAGTTACAAATCAGAGGAGGCTATTCTGCTCATCTAGCTCAATTGGTAGTTAGTAGTCAATTGATCTGAGTGTTTCACAGTGTTTCTCCAAAGAAGCCAGGGTATTGGGGCTTGTTCCATACTCTCATTCCATTTGGGTGAAGAAATGCTTCCTGTTGCCAGTTTTAATTGCTCTTCCATGTAGTTTGCACTTGTGCCTTCTAATTCTTATTTCAGTATAAATTCTGAAGAATTCAGCAGGATTGCCTTAGATGATTGTGAATAATTTTATAATTTACTCTCAAAACCATCCATGTTGAAGACTAAAAAGATTCAGTGCCTTCAGCCTGTCAGTTTAGGGCATTCCCTTAAGCTCCAGAACCACAAAGAACAAACAGCAAAAATGTAGCTTCAGCAGGCTACTCTTGTAAAGCTGGTAACTTTAGCTGAAGTACCTCAAACATTACTCCTTAGAAGTGTTATCTTTCATATCATGAAACAATGTAGTAAATATGAAAGCTGGCCTAATTCACAGTTTTAACACAGCGTGAATGTGGGTTTAAGTGAAAAAAGAAAGCTGCCTCAAAATAAATGTATCCCCTGCTGGCCTTTCAACATCAATGTTGTGAGTTGTACTTCCATAAAATTGTTTTAAAAAATATTAAAACTCATAACATTGTAATCTATTTAATTCTATAAAACATCATTTATGAAAAGCCACAGGGGGAATGTTATTTGACTATCTGAAAGAAAATGTGCACATTTTTGTTTCATTGCTCAGCATTTGAGCCATATGTGGAGAAGGGAAGTGATACTAGCTGAGTTCCAGCAGGTCTGAAATTCAATTAGCAGTCTGACTCAAAAGCTTAAATAATCAATGACAGTGCAAAAGCAAGTGATGTAGTAAGTCACGTTACCCAGGGCCGGATTTTGGTGTTTGTAGGCCCTATGTACTTCCACTCCAAAATGTACAAAAAGAGGGGTAAACACCAATGGAATTACATTGATTGACATGATGCACTTTAAACTATTCTAATGCTAAACCATGTGATTGATGGAGCAAGTCGAGCAACCATCACTTCAATAGTTTCTATCTAGTTTCTAGAACAGCCGCTAGATAGCTAGGAGCACCTACAGTTGATCGCAAGCATGTTGTGCCTACAGTGTCTAATGGGAAATCTGGCACTGACTTTACCCCATGATGGCAAATATTGATCCACTGCCTTGCTTTGCTCTCCTCTGTTTTTGAAAAGTGAAGCATGATATGTGAATTAAAGAAAGATTGCCACTCCTCATATGAACATCTTGCACATTTGTCTATTTATCAGTCCTGATATAGAAGCACAGATAGATCTGATTGATAAAAACAGGAGCAATAGTACTGTAGTGAACCAGCTTGTTCAAAATGAAGGTGGACAGTGGAAAAGCATTCACTATAGGCAATCAGAGACTGACATGCTAGTGGAGTGTTTCAATTATTTAATTTTCTATCCATCTGTATTTGTTGCAATTGTATTTCTTCAATTACCTTTACTTCCCCATGAGGGATCAAGCATTGTACTGTAAGTGAATTGTACTTTATTAGGACTTCCTTGAAATGTCTATTTCTTCAATGAGTTGATCAATTATGTTATTTCCACAAAACTCATTAACAATATCAAATGTCTACTATCATAGCTATACAGTATATAAAGTTGTAGTGCTACACCATGTTTAATTTATTTAGACTGATATGACAGACAGTTGATATTCTTTACAGCAGAGATTATCCAGTCCTGGATCAAGAAAGATCAAATCTAGCAGGTGATGGAGGTCACCATTAAATAGTCTATTTCTTAATTCTTGGGAAACTTTCATCCTAATGAATACATTTTTACTGGATGAAAAACAAAGCCTTAAGAAGTCCCTCCTAATTTGTTACTTATGGTTCACTGGGTTTAAATCAATCACAGATGTTTTCTGGTGGTCCTGCTGAAGTCTTGGTGACAGCAGATCAGTCCTGAATGCCCCAGTGGCTTCAGGTTGTGATAGTCCCAGGGCACGGATCCATGTTATCATTGCGTGTACGTTGGGATCTAACGATCCATATGTCTCTCATAAAAGGAAGCATCATCTTTGTTGTTGTTAAAGTCAGGCAGTAACGAGGAGTGTGGGAAGACCACATTGACTCTAACATGTTTTACAACCTCTCATAATATTATATTCACACAAGTTAATAATTATTAATAGTTGTGAAACTCTGTTACCTTTTTACAATGTTTCAGTAGATCATAATAATCACATAAATTGCAAAATTAAGAGGGAAAACATCTACAAGAACTGTAAATGTAAGCTGCTGCTCTTGCTGGTATTTACATTAAGTACTAAGCATCATTTGTCCCTGAAGGTCTTACATTTGTGTAATTACAATATTTACTAATATGCAGTACATTTGTTTTAAACTATATATTGGAATCTTTTAATATATTTAAACAGCTTCATTGTTCCATCCGATTCCTCTACAATTCACACTTTATTTTTTTTTCCTAAAAGAGATAAATAAAGAATTATATCAGTTATTTTGTAACAGAAGCACAGCTCTTTAAATATGGACATACAGCATGTGAGTACTAGATGGCATACAGTAGTAATTTATTTATTACTTGTCTGTATATTTTTTTTTTATTCAACAACCAGAGAATTTGATGAAAACACAGAAATGTAAAAAGGGTTACAGAAGAAATCTGTTAGATTGTTAAAATCTAACTGATCATGAAAAATGTTTTGGCCATCTAGCCAGTATGGTAATTAACAGTTAATTGATCCAAGGATCTCATCCAGCTGTTTCTGAAAGATGCCAGGTGTTAACGCCAGGCTGTTAACAAACCCTGTGCAGCTCTCGAGACGAAGGCTAAGGTGTCCAAGACAGGAGGCGAAGAGTGGACATTGTTGTAGACACATCATAATCAGAGAGGTGAGTGAAAGATGAAAGGAGAAGAAGAAAACACTAAATATCAGAGAATATGAATTATTCCAGACCTGCACATGCATGCCTCTGCACTGATCTCCTTAATTCTAAGTATGAAAAGAACGTGTTCCACCAACTAAGAAATCCTTGTCTCTCCATTAAGTAAATTACTTCTTGCTTACTTTTTATCTACAGCACTGTTACAGGTCAAAGTATAATCCTGTTAATCCAGTGGCCCTCTCTAAGTATCTCATTGCACTATAACTCTGATACATTCCATATGGCAAAATCTTAAGCTGTGAAAAACAAGTCAACTGGAACCACAAAATTGAAAAAAAATAATTAAATCATTAAGGGAAAATGCAATGATAAGATTCAAAGGAGCACATATTGCATAAGCATGCTCGAAATTCCCCAAAAGCACTGTTTCTCATTTACACCCCTCTTATGTGGTCTTTGATTTCTGCTGAAAGCATAACATCATTGTGCAAATAATACGAATCATACTTTGACTTGAAGAAGCACACCTACTGCAGTTCAAAGCCAGGCACTGTCAACACAAATTCACTTTAATTTTCACTGCAGATACCCCCCTTGTGCTTGCTCAGGCATTGATAGACTCCACTGTTGAATAATGGTGAAGCACGTATGTTTTTGAAAACTACGTTATAGTTTTCAGAGGGTGTGCTGCCACCTGACTCTGTGCCATAGTTTAGAATCTTTGTTGAATTATTGAATCGTCCTAGGTATTTTATTATTGTTTAAAATGTATATTTATTTTAAGATCAGATTCTCTTTGCATATTTTATGGGAAGATTCAACTTCATACATACGCTTAGATATCTTCTGACATGGTTATGGGAACAAACCTTGGGGATATGAGACTAGAATAATATTATAGGAGTAAAGGTGTTAGCAGCACTTGGCACAACATTTATCATTCCTATTATTGTTTGCTTATCTTGACCTACCAGGAATGATATCTGCAAAGAATACTTTGTATTTATAGTGCTTCATACTGTGAAAAATGTGACAGACTTTGGAATGGAACATTGCACTGGTTTTGACTGAAATTATTTTGGGTCATACAGTATATCCCAACATCGGCACAGTAGTGCAGTGGTTAGCACTGCTGCCTCACTGCACTGGGTCCCTGGGTCCACGTTCTAGGGTGCTATCTGGATGGAGTTTGTATGTTCTCCTTGTGCTTGTTTGGGTTTCCTCTGAGTGTTCTGGTTTGCCTCCACAGCCCAACAACACAGGTTAATTGGCTTCTGGGAAAATGAGCCCAGTGTGAGTGTGTGCATACAGTATTTGTGTCTGTGACGGTGTGTGCCCTGCGGGACTAGCGTCCCATTCAGGGTTTATTCTGCCTGTCTATCTGTTGCCCAGATAGGCTCTGGCTCCCCATGACCCTGTATTGGATTAGAATCCAATACCTTTACCCTGTAAAGCGATTAGAAAATGAATGGATGGCTACCCCAACATACATTTAGGGACCTGCAACATTTATTTTTCATTGGCAGATTTAGACTAATAACCTTCTGTGTACATTTTTTAATGCTCTCCCTGTGTCTGCCCCGGTTTTCCACAGGTGCTCCAGTTTGCTCCCCCTCCCTGAGTTCATTCGCGTGTGCAACTTGTCCAGATCAGGGTGTAGTCCCGCCTTGCTCCCTAGACTAGGATAAAAGTAGCACTGAAAACTTTAGGATAACAATATTATTTTAAAAGGAGACAAACTCAATATTCCTGATAGAATATGCCTGATGACTTGATTATGGATGAGGGTTGGGGTGGGGGGATGCAAGTGTGCTGGTTAGCATGTCTCACAGCTCTAGGGTCCTGCATCTATCTGTCTGTGCGGAGTCTGCATGCTCTCCCCATGTTTGTATCATTTCTTTGCACAGGTGTACCGGTTTCCTCTCACCTCCAAAACCTTGTTGGCTAGATTTGATTGGCTCCTCTACATTGTCCCTTTCTCTGTGACTCTGCAATTGACTAGCAGCCTGTTCAGGGGATGAGCAGTTCTGCTTTGTGCCTTATTCTTCAGGGACAGGCTTGGGCCTGCTGCAGCCTTCACCAGGGTGGGTACATTTCAAATAATAATGATATATGAGAGGGAAAGGGGAGCTGAAGAGTGCAACCTTTGAAGTTTGTGCCACCTAAACTTTTTTTTAAAACATTATGGATCTCATTAGTAACGGTCACACTGGTAAATGGTAATTAAGCACTTCAATACTTAGCATTAACTAACAAGCTCTTTGGCAAGCACTCGTCAAATAATTCCTGCATATGCATTCCAAGGATATTCTTTGTCAAAATCAAGAGACCAGGCCTAAACAAATACAGGCAAACATTTTAAGTTAATTCCCATAACATCACAAAATATTTTCCTTTACTCTTGTTACATTGTGTTCTGGCGAAACGAAAGGTTTTAGCACAGGCTATAAATTTTTAAGCATGAAAATTTAGAAGAAAATATGTGGGAATTTTCTGTCCAGTTTTTTTTTAATCATTCCTTATGGACACAGTACGGTCCAGCAAACTAAAAGATTTACTGTAGGAAGCCTCAAGCTTCAAGTGTACTCTAATAACAAATCGCATAGTCCACTAGCTTACAAATAAAGGACTCAAGATCTTGCTTTTCGAGTAAAATTTTTGACCTGTATTATTAATTGAAATATATTTAATCATAGTGAAAACATACATTATTAATTACAATGTAACAACATTGATTGCTTCTGTCTGTTTGACACAGTATTCCCTAGACAAATTATTTGAAGTACAGTACTTCTGTGAACCACAAAATAAATTATAACTGTCTTGGAAAAGTGTCGGAACAATAAAAAAATATTAATTGTTTTGGATTACATATTCTGTAGATGTGAGCAGCATGATGGGTCTTTCCAAGATGATGTGCTCTTTGCTTTCTATTCTGTGCAGGATGACTTTGCTTTAATTGACATACTGTATTGAATCTGAATGTTTTCATTCATTACATTCATTTAAAACAAAGACCACCCAAGGAAGTTACTGTACTGGACAGTTTATTAATGTGGCTGCTGGTAATTTTAAATTTATAAACCCAGACCCAGAATAATCAAGAATTTTTCAGCCCACAGCTCGGGAGACTCAAGGAAAGCTAGTTAAAGTGTTTATAATGCACCAGTATTGACTGTGCCCTCCAGCATGTTCTTCACACTCAGCACAGACCAGGTCTGGAGGTCACAGATGGAAACTGCACTCAGGACTATGAGCTTTCCTGTAAACATTTTTCAGTGTTTGAAATACTGTGTAATGGACATACTGCTGAGTCACACTGTGGAAATTACTGGAAAAAAACAGGAGAGTCTTTGACAGACTTCACAGGTCATTAATATACAAGTAATAACAATCCAATAAAACAAATCATTGGGCCCAATGACCGCCTATGCTCTTAGACCCTAAAAGACCTACTAAATTTGAAAGTTTAAAATGATTAAAGTGAATTTACTGGTAATACTAGACATGTATATTGTACACAAAAAAATCTCCTGGTTTAGCCTGCAAAACTGAACATCTTTCACTAGTGATTCACAAATTGCAGGAGCCAAGCTTCCAAAACATTTCTAACCACAGATTTTTTTATTTCTTGTCTTTCTTGTGTCCTTGTCCTTGTGTCAGTAGCATCGGCTATTCCTGTCTGGCTTGTATTGTGACATTCTGGCAGCAAGCTTACATTTTTTTTCCTTCTCTCTTTTTTTATTGTGTACATACAGTACATTCTATCTCCTGTGTTTTCTTTACTTTATTTGGTCAAAACCAAATAATTGTGGTGGACACAATATAAACTATTCACAGTTCTTAGCCTCAGAAAACTGGCACAGGTTAAAAGTGTACAGCTCCATACAGAAAAGTTTTGAAGCTGGTGGACTAGATTAGTAGAAGGCCACATGACCCATAAGTGGATGTGCTGTTATTGTAATGTTCTGCCTCCTTTCACAAGAAAAGTGGCAATGACTGATGTCACTTCTTCACTTCAGTAAAACAAAAAATGACTTTAATATGCTATCCTGTGAAAAAAAAAACATAATTTCAATATTGAATATTAACCTCACCTTTCTTTCTTTTGGTAGATTTGAGCTTCTTGGTATTCTTAAAGATTCCACCAAATGTATCCTCACTCATCTGGGCTGTGACGTTAATTTTTAAGCAAGGTAATTTAGCTGTAAAACATAACAATTAATAAAAATACTGGGTCAGATATCTATACAAATTAACTAGGTAAAGTTGTTTTACAGTATGTTATAATTTAGTTGACCTAATATAAACAAATGGACAAAAGCATTTAACCTGTGGAAAGTTTTGAAGTACAATCTGCCAAATATCCTTAGCAGCTGAAGCTTCAAAATCATTTTGTGAACTAGATCACCGGGCTTCAAAGAACACTGTGATATCCTTTTCTAGCACAGGAAATTTACACAATCCACTTTCTGTCTCTGCAACATTTATTCCTAACCACAGCAAAACAAACACAAAATATTCAAAATGGATTATAGGTTAATAGGAATAAAATAAAAGTTAAGTCATACGCTGAAACAATAAAATGTATGGTGAATTTGGGTTCGTAAAACAATGGTTAAAGATTCCACCAAATGTATCCTCACTCATCTGGGCTGTGACGTTAATTTTAAAGCAAGGTAATTTAGCTGTAAAACAGCTAAATTACACAGGTTGACAGGTTGTGCTGTGTCACCTGTTGTGTTCCTTGAAAAATTGACTTGTTACCAGGAAGTTTCTGATTCAAGCCCAATGACCGTGTCATTGACTCACTGTTATCCTGTGTAAGTCATTGACTGACCTTGTTTTCTGTGCCTTAGATAATATACAGTATAAGCAGACACAAAAATGACTTTACACCTGCAAGTGCAGATGCATGGTTTGCACCTCAATCTCCTTAAGTTGTTTTGGGCTAAATGGGTGATTTTGAGGGTATAGAAAACAGAGTAATACAGTACATCGATACCTTCTTTTCTCTCCTTCAGGGTTTCCAGGATGAGTTTGCCACAGAGCTCTCCAATACTGTTATCATCTAAATCCAGCTCTATCAAATGACCTGAAAACTTGATGAGCCTAGAAACAACAGAAAAAATCAGAAAATACACCCAATACATGTGTTCTTGTTACTTTCATTATATTTGTTCCAAGTGAAACAATCAAAGGAAACAGTTGTATTAATTCAATAAGCATTTACATATTCAGATATGGATGTCTTACTGTCAGAAATTGTAGACTGTGTCTGTATTTGTTTTTTGTCATAGGCTGATGGGACTGCAAGAAACTGTCTGTTCACATATTACATATTGTATTTTACTGCACTCTACAGCAGTGTGGTGGACAGGACCTAGAAGCAGAACAAAGTGAAATAGTGGGATCTTCAAATACAAACAGATTAATCCAGCTGTGAAAACCTGAGCAAGAGTTTGGGTAACTTAATTGTCAGGTCCTCAATGAGGAGGAGGCAGAAGCTGTCAGAATCTCAACATGCTGCCAACAAGCTGTCAGTATTTAGTCATGAACTAGATCTCCAGATCTCCACCATGCTCACTTTCACTATGCTCTCACCTCCTCTTGAGCATGTACAGTATAATGTGGAATTTCAGAGATAATTACTTGCTTTGGGCACCTGCCAATAGATATTTAGATGTCACGCCCAACCCAGTTAAGTTGATGTGATGTTTGATCATTGCTTCAATGCATGTTGTGTTTGTTTGTGAAAGGCATAATTTATGTTTTTTTTTTTTGTTTTCTGACAATATTTAAAAGATCTTTCACAAGCAGTATTGATGATATTTTTCCAGGACCTTGTGGGGTCATCTGGATGTTGTCCATGTCTAAGCTTTGTACAATAGAGGGGGGTAACAGCTGCTGGATAGACCATCATGAGATGGGTTCAAAGTCTCACATACACTTCTCATTTTTTCAGTAGTATAGCAAGGGGTCTTGAATTAATGTTCACAGAACCAACAAGTAAGAATGTATAAGGCATGTGTTATTGCTTTATTCTGGCTGACAGTGATTACATGTTTTTTTAATGATATAAATGTCTTTCTATTTAAGGACAAGGATAGCTCTGTTTGAGTTGGATCTTTCTGCATCATTCCTGGAACTGATAGATGCATGTGAACAATTGCATGCTTAATAAGGATATTTGGGGTTTTGTGCAAGGTTTTATTTTCCATATAGTGATACTCACTGACAAAGAACTTGGGCAAACTTCAGTGGGCCAGTAATCCCTTCCTTTCCATTGTCATCAATTCCATTATCAGCCAGATGTAACTTTGCTAACCAGGGTCCAATTTCTGGAGGTTTTGCTATTTTGCTCTTCTTTCCTTTGAAAATCCAAGAACACCTAATCAATGACTATTTGTTTTCTATTTGCTTCTGTCAACCACACAACATGAAGCTTAATAGCAATCTTTAATCTCAGATTCTCTTTCTGCCTTCAACTAAAACATTCAGAATTTCATTTAGAATGACATACAATGCATGTACAAAAGAGCTATTATTTATTTTGTAAAACATAGTTTAAACATGACCCACTTTATCCTCTGTGATTTTGAGAAAAAGCAATTAACAGGTTCTTTTTTGCACATATAAAATCTTACTTCTCAAAGTTAATAGATTTTCCATGTAGAATGTCAAATTAATAACAGATCTTAGTCTGTTTAGTTTATTTATTTTTGGATCCATGGATTTTTAGTAATCCTTCTGCTTACAGAATGGACAGCACAGGATGTTGAAGCATGTTTGCTTTTGGACTTATATTAATTTAAAACATATGAGAATTGTTTTTCTGATCAGTACTTAACCTCATTTTGAGGCTTATTTACATACTATTAAGTTCTTTTAATTTACTAAACATGTAATTCAATATGCAGTACAAGTTTAGGGAACAGGAAATTATAACTTGTCACATGTATATCATAGTTGCATATTTCCAGCAACTTCAGAAAAGCAAAAAGCAAAAAGACAGATATTCTTTGATTCTTAACTAAAGCCTTAGTTAACTTACATTCACTGTTTTACTTAGTATTGCCTTAACTGGCAAGCTACCCTTCATATTACTGGAAAGACATTTGTCCAGCCTACTGCACAGCATTGTACTTCAACAAGAATAATTACCTTTTGCCTTTTTTTTCTTTTTCACAGAAGTTTCTGGCCTTGTGGTACTTTTACTTTCAACGTTTGAACTTACAGTGGCAACATCCGCACGTTGACCTAAGCATGAAAGTGAAATATTAGGTCAATGACTGTTGTCTGGTTCAGGTTACAATGCAGCCTGGCCCTTGGTTCTGTCTGCTTCCATTCTATGTAAACATCCATATAGTACACCGCATGTGGGCTGTGAGCCTGGATTACAATCCGGATTTCAGCAATACTACCTACCAGCCAAGCACCACAGCTCAAAATATGTTTGACATCCTTCAGAAAGACTCACAATATTTTTTAAAAAACCCTAAAAATGGAGAACTTGCATGACTTTTCTGCGCATCTGCTAATATTGTATTCTTCATTGTTGCTCTCTGTTAGCCATGTTTCTGTGATGCCAATTACACAATAAAAACCAGACAATACGGTTACTGTCACGATTGTAGTCCCTCCCACTTAAGGGCGCTCTGACTCTTCCTTGTTTTGCCACATTTCCTGCACCTGTTCCTTATTCCAGCCTCTTTTCAGTTCCCCCTTGAAAGCCAGACGCTGACACTAATCAGGGCTCTGCACTGGTTTCCGCGTCATGCGAGCCCGGGTCCTGGATGTGTCTGGCTCCGTTATGTTTTTAACTTCCTGTTCCTGTTCCTGTTCCCCCTGCCGGTCCCGACCCGGTTCCCGTTTTTAATCTCCTGGATGGATCGCCTGCCCATGGACTTATGCTTGTTTTTGGACTCGTCCCTGGATTTATTTGCCTCGCTACACCTTCCCCGACCACCAGCACTCCTTGGACATGCCCCCCTATTTTTAATCCTGTATCCTGTATGACTTTTTCCTACTGTTTCCTCACTTTTCCTTGGATTGTGTCGTCTGCATAGGGTCCGGAAAGAACTGTTTGTGACAGTTACTAGTACAGTAGTTCAGGTGGGTTGGTGCGTCAGCATGCGTAGCTCATACCCGAAGAAAGGTCCACAGCCAAAACGTTGTTTTCTTTCTTCTCTTTTCAGTATGGAATAAAGCTATTACTTGTAGCTTCTATTTCTTGAATTTCTCCTAATAGTCCTGCCATTTAAGTAAATGCACCTATTTACCTGGTGAACTGATGTTGTCGTCTTCCCTTGGGATGTCTTTTTGCTTCTTTTCTTTATATACTCCATCTGCCACAAAGATGTTTGGATTCTCCCCCTTCCATTCTAGTTCAAATGGTTTTGAATTTCACAGTAGATGCTTGACCCTAGCCTGGCTCATTCAGCAGTAATCCATTATACTTGTACAGACGGTCTTTGCCTCCTGATGGAAGCACACACTCCTATAAGCTGGTTAGGCTAATAATCAGAAGCTGATCTGACATCTCTAGTCCATCTGGAAAAAGGCTCATTCTCTATGTGGATCATTAGGGATTTAACCTTTTGAAAACAAGACTGTAAACCAGGAACACAGTTTTCCAATTTAAATGAGCTGCCCTCCATCATTTTTACTTTTGTCATATCAGTGCTTCACAAATAAAAGTGTTCTGTCTACCATCATTCAACCAAATTCACTAACACTACATACATATATATATATAGGATTCTACATTCACTGGCCACAATATTGAACATTTATATTGAATACTACATCCAGTCAAATGAACAGACTTCATCAGTGGCTGGTAATGTGTGGTTGAATATACAGTAGGAGCATGACAGACTTCCTTTGCCTGGACAATTCCCAGATCTCAGTCTGACTGAAGCCTAGCTTGAAACTTGAATACGGATGGAATGTGCAGTTTAATTGTACACACCATTATCCTCAACATAACTTCAAATTAAGATGGTCCTGCAAACAGAATGGGATTGAACTAAATAGAAAATATTTTAAACATTTGTGGAGTCATGTCATGTCCTCTCCAGCTGTTCTTACTCTTGCAGAGGACCACTGTGTTATTCAGTGTGGGTTCATAATATTTTGTCTAGTATGATTGTAATTTTGCCTGTGTTTTAGGTGACTATAAAACGTGTGGTTATAGAGAGCTATGACTCAAACACTCGTAATATTTTAGGAATACTGTTATTGCATAATCAGTAAGTGTGTGACATTTAGTTTCTCCCCACTTCCACTTAGTCACAGATTTTACCGAGAAACAGCTCTTTATAGTTGACATTTACAAGGGGTCTCAACCACAATAAAGAAAGAAAAACAAAATTTTTACTCAATGTGTTTTTTATAATATGGATATGGCTATTCGTATTCTGTGTTTATTTTTTATCCCTTTAAACTTACCATGAGCCAAATCTGTTTCTCACTTAAAAACACTAAAACTACTAATTACAAAGCAAAGCAGCTGCTTTTCACTTAACATCACAGTTGCTGAGAGTTTAACCTCATCAATCCTTCAGGAGAGTGTACAGTAGTGTACAGGTGACACTGATCACTAATCCCAATGCCTGTCTACTTGCATATCTGCCCTGCAGTTTCACAGTTTTGCTCAGACAGGATTTCTATGGTGTGGATTAATTCTTACCAGGGCAATGAATACTTTCCACTTGACTGCTAATTACTTTTTAGTAGGGGACAAGGGGTTGGAAGATAAAAACAGCATGTGAACCATATTAATCAGATATACCCACATGTTCATTCTAGTACAGGGATGAATACATTAGTAAATAGAACCATCTTTTAAATCCTTCACATATGAAGGTTTTCATCTCTGTCTAATAAAAACACACACCTCCCCAGGACTGAAAATATGTGGAAGAGCACACATGCCTGTTGACCATTCACAGATGTTAATGCATTATTTAAACCAAGTGTTAAAAAGCAAACATTAAAATGTTATGTTGATGTTTATCAACAAATACATTTACGGGCATTAGCTGATATTAAGCAGTCTACATTCCTGGATCAACGAATAATTGACTTCAGCCATCTTTATTACTATGTATGAGCTCTGCGTACTTGGCTAATATGTTTGCCACCATCCACACCTGCCCTGCAGCTGTGAACAAAGGATTTATTTGTTTGATAAGATTGGATAAAGCTGCTGTTCATCATAAACAGCAGGTGGATGTACAGCAGCACCTAACATCCAGGTGGATGCTGCACATTGGTGGTGGTGGAGGGGAGTCCCCATTGCCTGTAAAGCGCTTTGAGTGGAGTGTCCAGAAAAGCGCTATATAAATGTAAGCAATTATTATTATTATTATAAAAAAAACAAGCTGAGTCCTGCATTCCAGTAATTGTTAGAGTACACAAGCAAGGTGTCATAAAGAGGGGGATACCCCTGTATGAACAATCCTTTTGTTCAAAGTCAAGTGAGAAGGAAATATTGAATATTACAGTGGCAAGAAATGTAGGTGTCCCTAAAACGCTGCCTACTGAAAGGGGGTCTGATTCTCTTATGAAGTGATAATACAGTACGATCCTGGCTCTCAGTATGCAATTCATAGGATCACTGGTATGTATTCAAAGAATCTGACTTAAAATACAGCTCTCTTACAATAAAAAAGTAAAGTGTTGAAAGGCTACTTATAGCTACAGCTCAGCATCAAAGTTATGGTCAATCCTTCACTGAAATCTGGTTACTTGGATATTTCAAATATTAACAAACAACAATATTATTTGTTGAAGTCTGTGAAAATGTTTTAAACTATAATCATTGCACATTCAAACCTTTGTTTAGACTACTTTCCATCTGTTTAAAACACACCAATATCCAACTACTTTTGCAAAGAGCAATTGTAATTATAACTGTTCTTTACAGGATGATGAAATCTTGAAAGTCGTGTCTTTACTAGGAAAAAGAGCCTATATACCCTGCCTGTTATTTGTGAACTTAGATATCCAGAGACTGAAAAACAATGTGCAGATGTATTAGCATTGAATTGACAGTAATTAGGTAACCATCAATTTTAAAACATGCCTGAGATTAGGACAACTGAGCTTGACCTGGATATAAACATTGCTTTAGGGGCATCATGAGCAGGCTGCTTTTTATTTTGATTTGAAAAGGCTTAGATGTTCAAGATCAACTATTGTCCAGTTCAGTTATTGGCTTTGAATGGATTAATCCTGTTTTATTGGATCATATGCCTATTTTCAAAGTACTGGTTCCTGAAGTTCTCCTCACTGGAAAATAATACCTTACCTAAAGCAACATTCTCAGCATATTCCGCCATCTCCCTAACCAGGTCTGCCGAACCTTCACTTTGTAATTCATTACCATTTACATACAGATCTCTACAAAGAAAAGAAACAAAATATGATGTGATTGTGATGATAATTTTAAAAGTCAATTATTTGCCAGAATTGAAATCAAGTATTACAAATGAGTAAACAGATAAGGGCAACATGAATTACTGTGGAAAGTGCACTAGAAATCTAATTGTCATATTTTTAAGCAGTGCTGCTTAAGTCCACTCATATGAATAAATGGGCACCTGCTACTTCAATTATTTAAATTGCAATAAATCAAAATATATTCACGGGGGTGTTTTATACTCCCAGTTCATGCAAATGTACAGAATCCACACATTTGTCTACTGTACCTAAACTCTAGCACTATAAGACGAATAAGTTTAAGAAGGACTTTAACTTTTAAAGAAGCCAATAAAAGGAAAACAAAACCCACCTTATTGCACTTTTTGTGACAAGTGCAGCAAGCAGAGACCCACTACCTGGGCCTAGATGACAGTAACACAAACTAAGAGAAACAACTTGATTGTTTCCTGCAAGTCCATGCAGCAATCCTTGTACACCCTCTTCTCCAAAACTGCAAGAAGAAAGTGTTACATGTGATGCCATTTCAATTACTCTCTTACAATTGATGTCAGGTAAACTGTCTCTCGATAAGCTATTAACAGAAGTCTATAGTTAAAACATAATGAAAAAAATGAAAAAACAGATGGGAAACTTACAAGGCCAACAGGAAAGAAGGGATTTGCCACTTAGCAGTTTTTATTTCATTAGATATCCTATTTTACCTAAATAAATAATCATACACTGTATATTATGACAAACCGTTTGGGAAAATAAATAAGCTCCTGCACTTCATTCTCTGCACTCAAGTTAAATAAAGCACCCTATCCAGAAAAAACACACCACAACTACACAAAATAGGGAACTTCCACATGTACTGTATCTTTGAAGAGAACCAAATTGGAGAATTTCTTCAATGTCACAGAGGTTGCATAAATCGTGGCCTAGCTGGATTAAATACAAACATAAGATGGGTGTAGTTTTTGTTTGTCAGTGGAAATTAGTAAATTGTTTCGAGGCTTCATTTGAAGCAATACCATTTAACAACATTTTCTTATTGATAATTTTCTCTAAAATTATATGCCTGTTAATATTTGGTCCTACTTTAAGATCTATACATTTTCATCCAAAGTTCTTCAGTTCTCCTTTAAAACTAACGTGTAGCAAATCAAATAGTTATTTGTTAGCTGACTACCTTCCAGAAAAATTGATATTCTGGTCTTTGTTTCTAATTTTGTAAATAACAAAAAGCAGCAAAGTATTAAAGGAGGTAGATCACACATGGATCACTATGGAGGTTGATGATATTACCCCATCATATCTTGATTGTACATCTGTAGATGCAGGTAGTCTACTGTAGATAAAACAAACATCTACATTTTAAAAGAACCTAATTTGGGAAATTAACAATCCTGGATATTGCTGAGACATAATTTCCCTTTTGTAATGAATGATGTCCTTGATATCATAACTATATTAAATATTCATTATTCTCTGGATTGATCAATTTATCTCATCTAGTATAAATTACAAATATGCAAGATTACAATTAAGACGCTTTTTATGTGCATCTAAAGAACTGACATTCAATTCATAGTAGCACATACAGTACGCAGTAAGTAGCAAGAGAACTCTAATTTTGGCATCAGATCATACTTCAATGCTCTGTGGTACCATAAATCAGTTGCTGCATATTTTTCCACCACATCCTTATGAGATTATGGAGGCATGTAGCTCCATCCTGGTCAGAACCCAAAATAAAATCAGAAGAACATTGACCTGAAGCTGTGATGCATGCCTATCACGATATTCATTCCTCACAGCAGAAACATAACACAGAACACTATATTTAATATACTGCTTTATGTTTCAGATTATATTTGATATCTGAGAAGTGTTTTTCATCTTCTGCTAAAGTATTATGCATGTAATGAAATGAATACTGAAACAATCCACATCAAATCATCTAACATAACCCAGCAAATACTGTACTTACGTATTATAGTCTAGATTAAGAGAAGTCAATGAGCTGAGGTTAACTGCTTTCCCAAGTCTTTCCATGGACCATACATCGAGTCCACAGTCCAGCAGCTCGAGATGAGTAAATGGGTAAACCGTGCGCCCCCTCTTTTCGAGAATTATGGACTATATAACAAAAAAGCATTGAAGGAAAAATACAGTTTCTTTGTATGGTAAATATAAAGTAAACAGCAAACATTAAGCAATTGTCCAGATTTCTTCCTGTGACAACATTACAAGTACATTACTGATCTGGTATAGCAAATGCACTGCTCCCTCTTCAGATGGCACTGGATTCTACTTGTGCACTTTTGCACATATGTGGTCTCTTCATAACATAAAGTCTGCTTCCGGGGTAGTCAACTGTGGCATTTCCATTTTATTACAGGACGTTGAACCATTCGATTAATTTAATTATCGAATTGATCCTTATGAATGAATGCTCTAATCTACCATGATGTTCTCCAGGTTAAATGGCTCCCTGATAATGTATGGTTAACATAAGATTTGTAAGATCTATTTCCAACTTGTGTATTTGTCATGAGTCTGAGGTTACCAGGTGTATTCTGTTAAAATCAAAGATGCGTACATCACATTTTTGTCCCTAGAAGTATGCTAAACTAAGAGGCTAAAGGATTTTCATGGGCTAGTTAAGAGGCTTTCATTGCAAGGGTAACTTAAAAACCTTAGCCAGGGAGTGCAGGTTACTTATCACAAGGGCTCACTTATCATTCTGGACATTTCATGCTTGCAAAGACATTTACATTAAACACAATGCACGTGCAAACAATTTTCCACAGGAGTTCAAAAATTTATGTAAACAGTTATTGCATTGGGGGAACGGGCAACCAATTTTTCACAGTTGAATGTTACGAAAATGTTCGTTATGCAGTACAGATAAATTTGTAAATGATTTAATTGGCCTAATAACAACATAATTACATAAAGACCATCAGATAAAGTTTATTTTCAAAATGATCATAATGAAATGTTTAATTTTTAAGGGATTGCAGGCAGTTTAAATAAAAAAAACTATACTGTAGTTGTCCATTTAACTTCAGAGTTTCTGGGCTTACTCAGCATGTGAGTCTTTCAGTGAAATTTAATTATTCAGCTGGCAATTGGTAGGATCAATGCAACAATCAAAGTACCGGTTGCATCTGTAATGATAACAACATTTGTAAGTATTCATTTCAAAGACTAATCATTTTTTTCAGGTATTAATAATTTATATTGTAAACACTAAATATTCTTTTTTATTTATTTTGAAGTACTCATAATTACATAATTTGTTTTTTTGTTGAGCATCTGTATTTGAAACCCTTCTGACAGGGTGGACTTTCTGGAGTGGGGAATTATCTTTGTTGGTGCAAGGGAAGAGAAAGAATTCAGGGAAACACTGAAAATGCAGAGTTGTTGGTAATTGTAAGAGCAGTGTAAAATCTTTTGACACAATAAAGAAGGCTCTTTCTTTTCAGCATGGAATAACCCTTTACCTGTTCCTTTGCAGCCTACATATGCTGACACAGCTAACTAGTTGGACTAGTTGGACTAGTGTAGAATTGCAACAGATTAAAGTAAGTAGTAGTAGTTTCTATGTATTACTTCTGGAAGCTCTCTCTTTTAGGTTTAAACTATGCACACTCCCTTAGCAACGTCTTTTATTCCTCTGTACTTGAGCTTGGCCGGGCCTTGTTTGTCTGTGTTTGACTGGAAAAAACCCCAGTATCTGCTTGTGTCTGTTTGCGTGTGTGTTTGACTGAGGTTTAAGGCTGCCCCTGTCTGTGTGTGAATTTTACTGAGGGTTAAGCCTGCATCTGTATTTTGGGTTTAAACCTGTCCCTGTTTGTGTGTATGTTTGGCTGGAATTTTAACTATATCTTCTGAGTGCTTCCCAGTATAAGCCTGTGTCAGTTTATCTCTGTTTAATAAGTCAGGTTTATATTCATGTGCCTCACCTTGCAGTGTGGTAGTTTGCTTATTTGATATAATCTTTGTCCTTTCTTCTCCTGGATTTCTAACCCATTTTACTAACACACTGTACATACTACTTTTCAAATGTTGTACATTTGTTTTCTATTCAGTCTTCAGGTACGTCTGTATGGTTAATGTCCTTTCTATGATAATGTTGTACCTTTTAATTAAATATCTTAGTCATTCTCTACAATGTTTGTTGAATTCTGCACACACAAAACACCTGGGCTGAAAAAACTTTTCTACCACAAAACAAGGTGTCATAGCAGAAGGCGTCAAGAGGTTTCAAAGAAAAACCTCTTATTTCATGCAAAAGTCACTGCATCCCAGAGGCTTTCCTGGAAACACAGGGCACAAGGAGGGACTACACGATAGATGGGACACCAGTCCATTGGTGGACACACAGAGGCATAATTTAGATTAACTATGGTAGAAAACATGACTTTGGAAGGTGAGAGATAACTGGAGCACTAGCAGAAAAACTATGAGAGCATGCAAACTCCACACAGAATTTGTACTGCCAGGAATCAAATCCTGTGCCAAAGTGATGTGAGGCAGTAGCACTAACCATAATGTTACTGTGCAATGTTCAAGTACATACAAGTGGAATGTTCCATGAGCAGAATAAACCTGTTTTTACTGGCTGTTTCGGGACTGCGACTGTCATTCTAAGACAGCTAAATCTCTAAAATATATGTGTGTGTATCATCACATCTCAGGAAAATACCTGTGGTCTTCCAAACTTTTTCAACTATTTAAGAATACTATAATAATGTCAGGTCTCTCAAGGAAAGAAATGAGGAAGGGGAACTGTAGAAGAGTACTTGATGAGGGAAACTCATCAAACAATAAGTGGAAAAAACTGACAGAGAATTGGGGACAAAGCTACCAAACAATATAAAACAGATGGAATCGTCAACGTATTCTCACAAGTAACAGATGTGTGAGCCATTCGTAATTCTCATTGTCACGCCATTGCGCTACCACTGTTGCTCATGTTAAATGACACTCATCTGGCTCATACATACACACATAAAAAACTGTGGTGTGTTCACCAGTTTTCTTAATGATTTCTGTTACATCTAGATTATTGGTTAAAACACATATATAGTAAAATACATACTGTAACATTCTACTGCCATGCTCGTTGTTTATACTGTACCATGTAAGATATGAGTGGGATAAGAATTTCAAGTACGTAGCTGCGTCGGCATGTGTAGGCTGCAAAGAAACAGGTAAAGGTTTATTCAGTGCTGAAAAGAGAAGAAAAGAGACACAATGTTTCAGCTGTGGAGCCTTCTTAAGGTGTGGAGCATACATGAGATTGAATCAACCCCAATACTCCAGAAGATATTTGTTTGACATCACTTTGCCAGTAATGTGAATTTAGTTTAATAACATTTACCAGGGTCCAATTTTACCTAAACAATATTCAATACAATAATTAAAGGCATAACATCCGGCATGGTGAGATGATGGTATGATGACATTCCTTGATGAGGAAATTCTTTATTCAATATGATTTATGTTCAATTCATATTTAATTACCTTTTCAAGGTCAGAATAGATAAGAATACTAAACTGTCCTCAAATTTAAACTGATAATCAGTAAATAAAAGGGCTAATGCATGCATAAGTGCTTTTGGCAAGTGGTGAAAAAAAGCATGCATACTGTATGTCATTTCATTAATAAAAGGAGCCACTTAATTTTTAAACATCACAACAAAAATACAAGTATCCATCCATCCATTTTCTAACTGCTTCATCCAGTTCTGGTCATGGGGGAGCAAGAGTCTATCTTGACTACAGACACAAGGCAGGGTATCCTGGACAGGGCACCATTGCAGAAAATACAAGTATTAAGATAATTAATCAAGGCACATACAGTATGACATTGGCTATGGAACTTGAAGTGCTGCACAGGAAGGCCATGTTAATTTTCCTAAGGTGGAAATGTTGTAAATTTTTGTAAATATAAATATTAGCTGAAGATAGATGATCCCTTTGTGTAACAATTTTATGTAATCATTACATAAACAAATTTGTTGGATAAATAACCAAACTTACAATTTACTTTTTATGCTTTTTGATAACAGATGGATATTTATATAGCCATTAGTCAATTGTCAAATTGATTGCAGTTAAAACCACTTTTCATTCATCCTAAAGAACAAATCTTGCCAAAATAAAATAATTAAAGGTTGCAGTTTACAGTTTGAATATCATTTAATTTAGAATAAAATACAATACATACTGCAGCTACACGAAACAAAGACTATTATTATAATCACATCTGATGTTTTTCCAAGTGACTTCTCAATACATTAATTCGTTTGACAACTCTCACAATTTATTTGGACTACAGGGATTTCTGGAAATATTAGGGTCCAAAATAAACCAGCTGCTAATGAGAAAAAAGAATTAGTTTCTATTTAATGGTAAATAGTTTATAATTTTTCATTTTTTCTTTGTAAGAAATGAAGCGTAGAAAAGACTGTTTTTAATCAAATGATTCGGATTATATTATGACACAAAATAAAGCATGTTTATGATTAATCACCAGAGCAAAGTGAATAAACACCAATGAATAATTCTAGCTGTTATGTTAGGCAGGCAGCCACAGTGCAAGGTTAGTGTAATTTCTGACTTTTGTTTCAAAGGTTTTCCTCTAAAATGTTTCAAAGATCAGCTGTTTTTATTAATGTACGTACAGTATATAGTCAGGGAGGATTTAATTTAATTTTTATTTTTTGGGACATATTTAGAGGGGTCATTTCTAAAAATACTGTAAAGTTAATTTTATTAACAGTTGAAAATATGTGCATAAATGTTTATTACCAAGTTGGATATTTGTCAAATTCATATTTGGTGAAGAACAAAAGTTATCTGTCAAACTTTATGTTATGCAAAAAAGATAAATTGGGAAGCCACACAAATTCACAATTAGACAAACTACAAAATGTATATTTACTGTAGCCTGGTCAAAAGCTTGATCTTTAAGGATTACTAGAATGACTAGACTATAAACTAGAGTGTACAGGCCTCCAGTTAACCACTGGAGATACTGCAAGCAGATTGCAAAATATATTGGTGGTGGTGGAGGGGAGTCCCCATTAACTGTAAAGCACTTTGTGTGGAGTGTCCAGAAAACT